TTTTTTCTTTTTTTTTTTGTTTCGAATTAGCATGAAATTAGCAATTTTAATTCAATCCGCGAGCACGGAAGGTACGCGATGTTTTTGAACATTTTCGAATACTTGTTGTGTTCGCGTTCGATACGCAGGACTTGCAGACCGTTTTTCAAGATCAGATCAACAGAATATCTTTCTATTCGTGTCGCACGTCAGAATGCCGGGACACGCGAGGAGATTTCAATCGTCTCTCGTTGAGATTTCAATCGTCGTGCCGCTATTTCCTCCTTTCTTGTGCCTCCATGTCGACTCTCGTCACTGGAGATTTATGTTCTAAGGACCAGAAGTTTCCGTAACCAATCGCGTTCCTGTCTTTGATCCTTTGGTCGTCGTCCATTCGCGAAACTTGGTCTTCTTTGCCTCTGGTATTCTTCGTTCCATGATTTTTCGTGTCTTTGTGCAGGTTCCCGATATCCTCGTTTTTGTATCCAGTTGGAACATTTTCCTCCTGTCTTTTGAAAATATTCAACAAATCACCAAAATCGTCAAGATTTCTGTTTCTCGTGTTTCTCCTCTTTTTCTCTATTTTGTATCCCTTGTGTCTCTCTGTTTTATCAGCCTCATCCGCTTTAACGTTAAATTTCCAAGAATCTCCGTCGCTATTTCCCTCGTTCGAGTCTTCGTTCCTTTCTTCTTTTTCCCTCTCGTTTTTAGCTCCTCCGTCCCGATTATAATTATTTTTTCTTCTTTCAAAATCTCTCTCGTCGTCTCCAAAGAGTCTCGCAAAATCATCGTCGCTGTTCTTTTCTTCGTCGATCATTGCGAACGTATCGGCGAAATTACTCGACTCGTACGATTTTGATAGATCGTCGAAAGTGTCTGGAAGTTGCGCGGATGTCGTCCGGCCGTTCGCTCGTACCCTGAACGTCGCATTATCACTTTCGGATTCGTTGAAGTCGCTCGGAACTCGCTTCCCGTTCACTCCGTACTTGGTCCGCGTCTCCTTTTCGAGCGGCTTCAACTTTTTCATTATCGGATCGTCCTTAAGAAATTCGTCTAGATCGAACGGCTTCCTGTACTCGTTCGTGTACTCGAAAATTATGGGCCCCGATTGACTTTCAGAGTCGCCTTCGCGCGAAGTTTCTTCAGATTCTTGTTCCTTGAGGAACTTGGCGTTGTTCAAATTATCCTTCGAATCTTTCGTTGGAACCAGTTTCCTTTCATCTTCCTCTTCAAGTTCGAAGAACTCAAAAGACTCGTCGAAATCCGTCGACGGTTCACGTTCCGAACTCTGTCCGAATCGTGAACTTTCCAACGATTTATTCTCGTCGTTTCTATCCCGTTGACCAGCGTTTGAATATCTGTTCAAACTTGTCAAGTCCGAGTCGTTTTCGTCGCTCTTGTCTTCGTCGAAGACAAGTCTTTCAGCGCTTGAAAACCTTTTCAAATTTGAAACGTTCGAATTGCTTCCGTTAGCTTTACTTTTGTCCATCTCGTTGCTGTTTGAAGAAGAATTGCTTTCTTCGCTCGAGCTTTCCTCCGAAGTTTTTGAAGGCTTAATTTCAAAAGTTTCCTCGGAAGGATCGTTGCTCGAAGATCCTTTCTCAGGCAATTCTTCGAAATCGATAGATACTTCCGGATCAACAGAGTCAGTTTTTCCTTCCATCTTCTTCTGTTCGTTCACCTTGCGATCCTCCTCGTCTAAATATTCTTCTCTAATGTCGGAGTAATCTGGTACCTCGACATATGGAATTTTGTTTGGATCGTATTCTGGAATATCGGAAGACATTTTAAAATTTTCGACATTCGTCTGATGATCCCGTATATTGATATAATTTTTATCCTCTTTTTCTTTCTTGATCGAACTCTGTAATTTATCCACATCTCGAAACGTTACATTTAACACGTTCTTGTCATTTTGTAAATTTTCAATCTCCTCTGAAACATCTTTTTCTCTATTACTCTGATCTGTCACTGTGATATTTCTGTTCTTCTGTTTAATCGAGCTTTGAGATTTATTTACATCGTGAGACATTTTATTCGACATGTCCTTATCATTTCGTAAATTTTCAATCATCTCGCCATCACTATCGCCTTTGAAATTTTCTTCTCTATTTCCGTTTGAATCATTCGTCTCGATACTTTGCGTATCGTCGCAATTGGAAAAGACAGAAACGTAACTACGTTTGTTCGTTTCTTTCGAAGAAGGTGATTCGAATTTCTCAGGTCGTTTATCCATCGTCGCAGCTCCGAAATCCTGATTTCTATTTCTTGGTTGCATCGTGTGATTCAACTGTTTTTGTCGTTCCTCGTAACTCAGATTTGGATGACGATCGAATCTCTGTGAAGAGGGGACTTGTTCCCCTACGTGACCAGATCTTTCGACTAATGAACGTCTCAAACGTTCGATCACAGCCCCTTCTCGATGATTCTCCAGTGTCTCAAATATTTCGACTTCATTTTCACTAGTATTTTCATTGAAATTTGAATTTTCATTAGATTTGTGGTTTGAAGAATTTAATGTGTTGAAATTTAAAGTATTGACAGTGTTACTTTCAGTTTCTGGCAACCAATTGGTTTTAGAACCAATTCTCTTCGGGGAATTTTTATTAATTTTCTTTGCCAGATCTTTCGTGTTTTCGGCTTTCGTTGTCGGACGATTCGATTTCAAAGACGATTCGAGTTGTCTCGTTCTTGTTGCATCCCTTTCTGCCGTCTAAAAATTTCGAATCCTTTTGTTATTTTAATCCTACTCGTTTCTTTTAAGGGATAAGATTTAATGATGGGCATTAAAGTAATGTTGAGCTTTTTGAAAAAAATTCGTAGTGAAGTTCTTATAGGCAGTCTGGAATTCTTAATGTTCAATTAGAACCGATGTTTATTCCAATTTCCAGGATTCAGAGTTTTCTCAAATATATAAAAAGTATTGCACAGTACTTACTTTCCAATGAGATTTCTCATAATTATAATTATAAAGTAAAATTTATAATATACAATATTTATAATTAAATACAATCAAACGATGCGAATCTCAGCACTAGAATTGCCAACGACTAAAGTATAAAAATTGTGTCAAAGAAATTAGAATCTGAGGAATAGGGAAAGGTTTGTACGATAACGAGCACAAACGTTCATTCGCATATTTTACAAAAATCATTCGAATCTCTAAACAACGCAACGTTGTGAGCTCGCAAAATTACTCTAAAAAAATTATGAATTCATCATTTTGACCATTTTTTGGTAGTTCTAGTGTTAATCCAATCAAGCACTGTTAAGTTAAATGTTATGACAAATACTAGTGTGCAAATACTTTTTGGTATCGATTATTTGGAAAAATGAATTTTCCACGAATTTCTCAAGTAATCAAACATTAGACTTCAAGCAGGAATACTCGCGGTTAATTTTACCGTTGTGCCTTCGATCGGACACAGGAACATAGATAGCGGTTTTAACTACCTTGTAAATCATTCTCACCCGACATTGATAGTAAATTTTACGCGCCTGCCACGTAACTCGCCATGGTGAAATATTTGCCCGTGCCATTGCGTATAACAATGGCAAACTCCGAACTCCGCGCATCAT